GAGAACTGTGGAGTCATTCTTAAGTTTCTACTTTAGCAAGCAACAGACATGTGTTATACTTACTGAGAAGGAGACACCTGGGAAGGAACAGGTTGGGGAGAAGGGGAATAAAAACCAAGTGTTCTGTTCTGAACTGGTTCCCCTGAGACACCCTGAGTAAGGGTGTCACCTAGGAAGTTGGTCATGTGAGGCTGTAACTCAGAGCAAGTGGTCCACGACAGAGCTTTAAACGTGCAAGTCAGCCATATACACAGGGTATTCAAAGCCAAGGGACAACATGAAATAATAAGCTTTGGTTATTTGTCAGATAAGAGAACCATGTAATCTAACATGTTTCTCTTCTTGTTGGGCTACTAGAAAAGTTCCAAACTCAATATAAATCTTAAAGGAAAATGATCTTCTCAGAGGTTCTGGATATGATGATCTACCCCTTTTACTTCCCCTCCTCTTTATGGTGTTTAGTCTTCTTTCATCTAAATCTTTTTTGTAAGCATATGTACTATTTAAAAAAAAAAAAAAAGAAAACATGAGAAATGAGGTAGTGAAATGACATGATTTGGGGAGTCGGGGGGCTGGCTCCTACAGTGCCTTGGGTGGTCTTCAATTACAGACACGTTACCTTGGAGTTATCTGTGGGTATGTGCTTCTCTGATAGAGTAAAAACTCTTCAAGGGCATCAGCTACATCTTACTCATCTTTGAATTGCCTTGAAATGAAACAGTGTCTAACTCACAGCAGGCAGGCAATACATGTACACTAACAGCATCTGCCACTTTTCTATAAATAGAAGGGGATCAGGCCTTATCAGAATGTGCTACAGCTCAGTTCTAAGATGTTTTGAATGCAATACAGTACACGAATAAATACCAATCAGCTATACAGACAAATGTTAGCTATAAGGGTAAACCTTCAGGGTCTGGACTGGAAGACTTCAAGCACGAGAAGAAAACTGAGCTGGCTTTAAAAGGTGCATAGCATTTGATCCGTGAAAGCCCATTGCAGAAGGAAGCCAAAGAAAAGGGGCAGTAAGGAGGCTATTCCGGTTGGAAGGAAAGGAAGGAAAGGAGGGAAAGCAAAAAAAAAAATGTGTAAGGGGAAGGGAGATGGAAAAAAACAGTTAAGAACACAGTATGGACATCCCTGAGTGCCAACAACTTCATGCTTTAGAGTTTTAGAAAGTTATACATTTCTGGGAACTTCAAAGAGATGTTTAAGGAAGATCACACAAACTCAATGTGTAGAACAGATGAGTGTTAACTAAGTCCAGGCATAAGTTAGTAAGAATCTGATAAAAAAAAAAAAAAAAAAGGAGGCCACAGGTTTCAAAAAGTCAGAGTGAACACAACTTGGTGAGTGATAGAGAAAAAGAGGATCAGATTTAATCTGGGATTTGAGACCAAAGGGGTCAGGAGAATAGTAGTATGATTAAGAGAAATCAGGGAGACAGCAGGAGGAAGTGATTTTAGAAGGCGATACCATCGATTTTAGGCAGAATAAGTTTAAGATGATAGCGGCCACCCCCTACCTCCAGATTCCTACTCCTTAAAGCACAATGTGCACACAATCTGCCGAAGTCCTTGCTGAGAAAAATTTTTCCTAGCAGTATTTCCACAGAAACATAATACAGAAACCCTTCCATATAATACAGTGTCTCTATGGTTGCAGAAGCAAATTTAAATGGATAAACTCATAAATATAAAAATAAAAGACATGCCAAAAATTGTCTACTTTTACAAAGCACTGTGGTTTCACATTTGGATGTTTTAAAAAAAAAACACTGTTATACGAAAAGATGCTCAATATTATTTAGCCCTGAGAGAACTGCAAATTAAAACCACAATGAGATACCAGTACACAACTATCAGAATGGGTAAAGGTTAATTTAATCTAATAATAACAAACAATGACATGGATGCAGAGCAACTGGAACTCTCACACATTGCTGGAAAATGGGACAGCCACTTTGGAAAACACTGTGACAGTTTCTTATAAACTAAACATATTTTCCCTATGACCCAGCAATCCCATTCCTACGTACTTACCCAAGAGAAACAAAACCATATATCCATACAAATACCCACGTGCAAATATTTGTAGCAGCTTCACCCATAATCATCAACAACTCGAACGTGTATCAACTAGTAACTGGCTAAACAAATTATAGTACGCGTACACAATGAAATGCTACTCAGCACCAGAAAGGAGCAAACTACTGGTACGGGATAAAACAGGAATGAATCTCTTCTTCGATATTAAATGAAAGAAGCCAGGAACAAAATACTACACAGTGTGTAATTCTATTTATATGATATTCTGGAAAAGGGTGATGATATTACATTTTGTTTAGGGTGGTAGTCATATTTGTCAAAACCTGTAAAAATGTACACTTAAAAGGAGTTTACCTGTATGAAGATTATTCCTCAATAAATCCGACAAAAAAAAAAAAAAAAACTATGGCACCTTAACATTGGCTCAAAGAAAAGTATTAAAGCTCAACATTGTTATCTACGATTACTCTGAAAAATTCTAGACATACATACATTCATTCATTTATTTATGGCTGCACTGGGTCTTTGTTGCTGTGCGCGGGCTTTCTCTAGTTGCGGCGAGTGGGGGCTACTCTTCGTTGTGGTGCGAGGGCTTCTCATTGTGGTGGCTTCTCTTGTTGCGGAGCACGGGCTCTAGGCACGTGGGCTCAGTAGCTGTGGCTTGCGGGCTCTAGAGCGCAGGCTCAGTAGTTGTGGCGCACGGGCTTAGTTGCTCTGCGGCATGTGGGATCTTCCCGGACCAGGGCTCAAACCCGTGTCCCCTGCATTGGCAGGCGGATTCTTAACCACTGCACCACCAGGGAAGCCTAGACATTTCTTAACTAGCTAGCATACTGCAAATGTCCTCAATACTGCAAAGAAACAAATCCCATGCTTTTTCCCTCTTCGGGCCTCAAAACATTCCTGTGCAGAAACTGGGCCTAAGTATGTTAGATACAGTGCAGAAGCCATGTGAATGCTGCTTATTGAGACACTAATAAAGTGAGTCTTGTTTGCCGGACAGCTGTTGCTCCATTGTCTTTTGTCATACACAAAAATAGAGAGGTGTTATGCTTATGGAATGTGACCTTCTCATTGGATAGCTGTTACATCACGCCCGGAAACACTGCCAGAGAAATCCATTTTCACCGTGTGCCACACGGAAAACAGTAAAGACAAAAACAAACAAAACAACCATGAAAGATCCCAAAATCTGCATTAAATGAACTGTACTACTCCTTAAAGTCAGATCATTTATAAGAAGTATTTCTCAATACTTAATACTGCTGAGTTTATTTTTATGAATAATGTTTTGTCTCACTTTATTATCCTTAGTATGTAACTTCAACAGAATATTTTTCAGAGTCCAAGTAACTGTTATTCTTCCAAAGACATTTTCTTTGAGCGCTCCGTGATGACTAATGCTATACAATTATGAGAGTAATTCCTTTGTTTTCTGTATTATCAAATGCCTACCTAGGTACTTTGCCATTTTACAGTGTGGTCATTTATAAACCATTTTCATTTGAACAAGGGTTTTCAGATTCATTTCATTTGAACAAGGGTTTTCAGATTCTTTTGATCACTATTCACATTGTGACCCAGTACACAGATGTGTGTATATATGTACACGCAACACTGAAGTTTGACAAAGCAAGACTTAACCTTACCTCCTAAGATGCTATTATTTTCCCTTTTGTTGTTGTCTTTAAAATGCTGGCAAACACCACATAATTTATACCGTGAGCCGCAATTTTTGAAATCATTGCACCAGGAGATGAAAAACAAATACAATGTCTGCATGTTTTGAACAAAGGCTTTCAAATTTTCATTTAATTGTTTGTTTTTAAACATATGAGTCCAAGGCTGACTCACAACTCCCCACACTCTGCTCCTTCTCACTGAGGGTTCCTAGGCCTGGTGAGCAGGAAAGACAGAAGGGACCTTCAGAAACCAAGCCCCTCCCCACTCCCACCCACCATTAGATGTGGGCGGGAAGGTCTTGGCCTTCTAGGCCTACAAATATTCAGAGCCTTGCTTTCCTTCCTTTTCCATTTACCCTCACTGTTATTCCTTAACCTCTACCCAAACACACACACACACACACACACACACACACACACACACACACACACACGCGCACACACAGCGAAGTGAAATAAAATTCAAGTGGGTGGAAAAAGAGTTACAATACAGAGGAAAGTAAAGTTTTTCCTAAACATCTCAGGATTTCAGTTATGCCTGCTCTGCTTATTTCCCAGACCACAGACACCTAAACAAGTTTAAAACACTGAACTGGCATGTAAATCCCACTCACAAAATATTTCCAACTCCTAATAATTTTGAGTTTTTAAACCACTACTCAATATTATATTCTACTATTCCACACTGAAACAACTGGGTATTAATGATCATAAGATAATTAGAAGTTTTATATGAAGATTGGAAAACTTACTTTTAAGAACTCCCACAGGGGAAACTGGACCAATGAGAAAGGAATCTGAAGAGAAAAAAAAAAGAAAAAATCAAACAAATTAGGCAGGAAAGATCAGTTTGCTTAGCATGACTATATGAACCTATAATTATTATTCAGAAACATTATTTCATTTTAACTTTATATACATAATAAAGCTACCATTAAATTTATAAGTACAGGATGCATAGTTTTTAGAAACAGAGTTAAACGGTAACTGCCTGTAAAATCTACTAAGTTTTTGAGCCCAAAGGACATAAAATGATGCCCTCTTGAGACTGAAAGAGAAGCCCAATATGAAGAGTGTCAGGCTGCTTAAAGAAATGAGAAAATAAGTATTTTCCATCACAGGTAATGAAGACTTTAAAGATGTGACATTTTCCCGCTTAAGAGTTTGAGCTGTCTGCTGCTCAGCGAGCCGTGTGTCAGGGTTGCAAAGAGAAGCAGGGAGGGGGAGAAAGAGTGGGGGAGGGGGGAGCACAGGAAGGGATGGGGAGGAAAGGAGAAAGGGAAGAGCAGGAAAGGGGAGGAGGGGAGAGAGAAGGAAAGGAGAGGGAGAGAGCGGAGGGAGAGGTGCGAGGAAGGACAGAGGGGACAAGGCAGGTGGCTGGGAGGAGAGAAAGAAGAGGAAGCAGACAGAGCCACTTGCAGGAGGAAGCTGAGAAGCAAGGTGTGAGGACAGAACACAGGCGTGGGAAGACAGGAAGGGCTTCTCAATGTGGAGGAGGGAGGGCTCTAAACAGTTGGGCCTGACAGCCTGATTTAGTCTCAAGCTTGGTCAGGGAGAAGGGTCATCTCTAGCAGTGAAGACAATCAGCATATACTTAGACTAAGGATTTACAATTAGCTGTACAGCAATAAGCTAGAATTGTTACCAAGCACTTTTCACATGCCAGGCACTGTGCCAATCAGCACTTCATAGTTTTTATTTCACTGAATCCTCACAACAACCCTGTAAGATGGGTATTATTACCATCCCCATTTTACAGATCAAGAAATGGAGGTTCAGGGCTTCCCTGGTGGCGCAGTGCTTGGGAGTCCGCCTGCCGATGCAGGAGACGCGGGTTCGTGCCCCGTTTCGGGAAGATCCCACATGCCGCGGAGCGGCTGGGCCCGTGAGCCATGGCCGCTGAGCCTGCGCGTCCGGAGCCTGTGCTCCGCGGATGGGAGAGGCCGCGACAGTGAGGGGCCCGCATAAGAAACATAAAAAGAAGAAAAAAAAAAAAAAAAAGAAATGGAGGTTCAGAGATGCTGTTTAACTTGCCTAAAGCACAAAGGAAGTAAAAAGCCCAGACAATCTGACTACAGGCCCCTGTAGACTACTACTCTACCTAAAAGATATCTTATTGGATTTGCCTGCATATAAATTCACCCCCAGTATAATCTATGTGCTTTTAATTAAACTTTCTAAAATTCTAAAATAGAACCCCACCCTCCATATTTCCTAAAATAAAAATACCTGAACTCCAGGGGACCCTACCCACTAGCCTAGGTAATATCCACACACTATCCACTGGGCCTACATAAGGGATGATGCTGCTCAAGCAGGTCGTGGCCCCAGTATAGTTCCTCTGTACCCAGTTCAGTTGTAAGTGAAAAGTAAATGTAGACTTTGATCAATAACAATAATGCATAGGGGTATGTGGGTGTGAGTGTGAGTGTGAGTGTGTGTGTATGTGTGTGTGTGTCAGAGACCACAATGTTGAAGGGATTAATGGGTATTTACCTTCCCATGAATTAAGAGCATTAAATTACTTCCAAAATATTTATATTTAATCAGAGATTAAGAGTCTAGCATCATCTGTCTTATTCTGCTTGAAGAAATCATGGCCCTGGGCTTGACAGTGGTCACAGAAAGAAAAATCTGCCTTCCATTCAGGCAGGAAATGGCAGTGAGAGAGGAAAAAAAAAACAAACATCAATGTCAATAAACTAGTTTAAGTTGACAAACTAAAATCTCATGGAATTTTGTCATCTTCATAAATAAGCAAGCGCCCCAACCTGTACATCAAAGTTCCATAATACGAGACAAACTTAGTTGAGCTTTTTTGTCACCAAAACAAGAAAGCATCTGACACTGTCCATTCTGACACTAAAATGCTGTATTTTCAATTAAATTATCAAAACCCAAGAACTAACTTTAGTTTTCATTTCTTTTTTTGGCTGCACTGCATGCTTGTGGGATCTTAGCTCCCCAACCAGGGATCAAACCTGGGACCCCTGCAGTGGAAGTCATGAGTCCTAACAACTGGACCACCATTTTTAAAAATTTATAAGATGTAATAAAATACCAAAGAGGACTACGGTTAGTGGGATTAGAGATGACTTTAATTTTCTTCTTTGTACTCTCTCCTCCCAACTGTAAATATGTCACATTTTAACGAGAATGTAAATATTTCATTTTTTTAAACATCTTTACTGGAGTATAATTGCTTTACATTGCTGTGTTAGTTTCTGCTGTATAACAAAGTGAATCAGCTATACGTATACTTATATCCCCATATCCCCTCCCTCTTGCATCTCCCTCTCACCCTCCCTATCCCACCCCTCTAGGTGGTCACAAAGCACTGAGCTGATCTCCCTGTGCTATGCGGCTGCTTCCCACTAGCGACCTATTTTATATTTGGTAGTGTGTATACGACAATGCCACTATCTCACTTCGTCCCAGCTTACCCTTCCCCCTCCCCGTGTCCTTAAGTCCATTCTCTACATCTGCATCTTTATTCCTGTCCTGCCCCTAGGTTCTTCAGAACAGTTTTTTTTTTTTTAGATTCCATATATATGTGTTAGCATATAGTATTTGTTTTTCTCCTTCTGACTTACTTCATTCCGTATGACAGACTCTAGGTCCATCTACCTCACTACAAATAACTCAATTTCATTTCTTTTTATGGCTGAGTAATATTCCATTGTGTATATATGCCACATCTTCTTTATCCATTCATCTGCTGATGGACGCTTAGGTTGCTTCCATTTCCTGGCTATTTTAAACAGTGCTGCAATGAACACTGTGGTGCGTGACTCTTTTTTTTTTTTTTTTGCGGTACACAGGACTCCCACTGTTGTGGCCTCTCCCGTTGCGGAGCACAGGCTCCAGATGTGCAGGCTCAGCGGCCATGGTTCACGGGCCCAGCCACTCCGCAGCATGTGGGATCTTCCCGGACTGCGGCATGAACCCGTGTCCCCTGCATCAGCAGGTGGACTCTCAACCACTGCGCCACCAGGGAAGCCCGCGTGACTCTTTGTGAATTATGGTTTTCTCAGGGTGTATGCCCAGTAGTGGGATTGCTGGGTCATATGGTAGTTCTATCTTTAGTTTTTTAAGGAACCTCCATACTGTTTTCCATAGTGGCTGTATCAATTTACATTCCCACCAACAGTGCAAGAGGGTTCCCTTTTCTCTACACCCTTTCCAGCATTTTTTGTTTGTAGATTTTTTGATGATGGCCATTCTGACCAGTGTGAGGTGGTATCTCGTTGTTGTTTTTTTGTTTAAGAAGATGTTGGGGGTAGGAGTTTATTAATTTATTTTATTTATTTTTGCTGTGTTGGGTCTTCGTTTCTGTGCGAGGGCTTTCTCTAGTTGTGGCAAGCGGGGGCCACTCTTCATCGCAGTGCGCGGGCCTCTCACTATCGCAGCCTCTCTTGTTGCGGAGCACAGGCTCCAGACGCGCAGGCTCTGTAGTTGTGGCTCCCGGGCCTAGCCGCTCCGCGGCATGTGGGATCCTCCCAGACCAGGGCTCGAACCCGTGTCCCGCGCACTAGCAGGCAGACTCTCAACCACTGCGCCACCAGGGAAGCCCTCACTGTTGTTTTTATTTTTTTCATGGTATGCGGGCCTCTCACTGTTGTGGCCTCTCCCGCTGCAGAGCACAGGCTCCAGACGCACAGGCCCAGCGGCCACGGCCCACGGGCCCAGCCGCTCCACGGCATGTGGGATCCTCCCGGACCGGGGCACGAACCCACGTCCCCTGCATCGGCAGGCGAACCCTCAACCACTGCGCCACCAGGGAAGCCCTCTCACTGTAGTTTTGATTTGCATTTCTCTACTGATGAGTGGCATGGAGCATCCTTTCATGTGTTTGTTGGCAATCTGTATATCTTCTTTGAAGAAATGTCTATTTAGGTCTTCTGCCCATTTTTGGATTGGGTTGTTTGTGTTTCTGGTATTGAGCTGCATGAGCTGCCTGTATATTTTGGAGATTAATCCTTTGTTGGTTGCTTCGTTTGCAAATATTTTCTCCCATTCTGAGGGTTGTCTTTTCGCCTTGTTTATGGTTTCCTTTGCTGTGCAAAAGCTTTGAAGTTTCATTAGGTCCCATTTGTTTATTTTTGTTTTTATTTCCATTTCTCTAGGAGGTGGGTCAAAAAGGATCTTGCTGTGATTTATGTCATAGAGTGTCCTGCCTATGTTTTCCTCTAAGAGTTTGATAGTGTCTGGCCTTATATTTAGGTCTTTAATCCATTTTGAGTTTATTTTTGTGTATGGTGTTACGGAGTGTTCTAATTACATTCTTTTACATGTAGGTGTCCAGTTTTCCCAGCACCACTTACTGAAGGGGCTGTCTTTTCTCCATTGTATATTCTTGCCTCCTTTATCAAAGATAAGGTGACCATAGGTGTGTGGGTTTCTCTCTGGGCTTTCTATCCTGTTCCATTGATCTATCTTTCTGTTTTTGTGCCAGTACCATACTGTCTTGATTACTGTAGCTTTGTAGTATAGTCAGAAGTCAGGGAGCCTGATTCCTCCAGCTCCATTTTTCTTTCTCAAGATTGCTTTGGCTATGCAGGGTCTTTCATGTTTCCATACAAATTGTGCAATTTTTTGTTCTAGTTCTGTGGAAAATGCCATTGGTAGTTTGACAGGGATCACACTGAATGTGTAGACTGCTTTGAGTAGTAGAGTCATTTTCACAATGTTGACTCTTCCAATCCAAGAACATGGTATATCTCTCCATCTGTTTGTGTCATCTTTAACTTCTTTCATCAGTGTCTTATAGTTTTCTGCATACAGGTCTTTTGTCTCC